TGACTGACTAATCAGCTTATTATCAAAGACTCTGGTCCAAAGACTATAACTTCTGTTTTGTCTGCATTCAGAAGGTTTTTTTCTGTCTTCAGACATGCCTGTAATCTATGTAATGGGTTAGCTTCATCTGGATTTATAGACAGATTAAGCTGGGTATCAATACTCAACTATACTCAGTACAAACTACCATCTATGTTAACTTCCGTAAACACGCTGGCTACTTGTGACGTCATGGCGTCCTGTGCTGCGCAGGCGGGACACTTAAGCTGCATCAATACGGCTCACACTGGAGATCACATACAAGTCGCATTTATTTGAAAATGTGAACGATCACGCAGAAGAATCTGAATCAAGCATTAAGGCCTGCAGAGTGAAGGTAGCCCTGGTTTCTGTTTCCTGTTAACGTTTGAAGGGAACAGAAAGCATCAACTGTATTTCTGGATTCCAGCAGCTAAAACCTGCTTTATTTAGACTGATCATTTAAAAATGACTCATTTCAGCTCCTTCAGGTGTGGAAAATGTTAGATTACTGAGGAAACCCACACACCTTACAGTACAGGGGATTTATAGAAAGGAAAATTATCATTGTTTTGTGATTAGAAGATGAAATGATATCTAGAAAAATGTCCTAGATCCACAGCTGATAGAACATGATGGCGGTTTGGGGCTGTCAGAGCCACCCTGTGCTCGGGTCCTACCTTGCAGTGATGGGGTTGCTCTGAGAGGCGGGGCTTGGGGAGTCATGTGACAGAGCAGAGCCAATGGAGCCGCCGGAGCCCACAGAACCAGAGTGACCCATGGAGTTTTTACTCCCTCGAGGAGCAATGTTGTTCCTCTGGTTGACTGGTTTCACCGTCACTATCAGGTTGTGGCTGTTGGCCACCATCATGGCCGTCACCTGAAAACACAGAAAGGTTGTTTTTCATCTAATCCGGTCAGATTAACCCAGGATTCTTTCCTCCTGATCAGCAGGGCTGAAGACTGACTCTACAGCAGTCCCTCACAGCATGCAGCAAGAGTAACGGACCTCCAGCAGAACCAGAACCGCTGACATGGAGGACAACTGATGCCACACTGGGCTCAGTGGTTGGCGTTTAATCTCCATCAGGAGGAACGGCTGCTCTGTTATCAGAATAAAATGCCATCATATCGGCCCACAGCTACTTCAGAAGCATTTAGTTAAACATATAATATGTTTTAAGGAATTATTGAGATTCAATATTTCATCTAATCATAAGTCATTAAATAAACTCTTTTTTTTCCGTTGCATTTCTTTTTCTTTTGGTTCTGATCTCTGATCCAACCAGGTGTCAGTGACTGCAGGCAGTGAGCGCATCCACCAGGGGGCAGTATGAGCCACGCTTAGCACAGACACCACACTGCAAAAAAACTATCTAGAAATAAGACAGAATTTCTTTAATTAACCCCTTAAGCCCTGAGAGCCTTAAGAGCAAATTCAGCCTGAAATTCCATCTGTGAATCTAATCAAGTTCAGCTCCAAAACTATAAATTGGAAATATAATTGTTTGTATTTCTGTGACAGAAAGGCATTGAGGAATATTTTTCAGGTAGAATCACTATTTTAAATGTCACCATGTCTAATTTATATGTGATTAATAAAATAAAAAATAAAAAAAAAATTTAGCCAAACTACAAATTTTCACCAAAACAAACTCTGCAAAACACCATAAAGCCCATTAGAAACTCTGGAAGAACCCTCAGACTTTATAGATCCACATCTTCACTATAATTCAAGCTAATCTGGACTGAATAAGTTGAAGCTCGTTTGTTCCACAAAGGTTTTAGTGAGCAGTGTGCTAGGAGGAAATATTTGCACAGTGCATTTATTCTTGGATTGCGGAGGTAAAAGACACTTTGCCAATGGAACAAGAAAATTAACATTTAAAATAAGAAAACAAAATTGCATTTTCTGATTTCGAGTGTATATTATCTAATTATCTTATTTTAAGAGTAAAAATACTCATTCTATTGGCAAACTATCTCATTTACCTGCATAAATTAAGGGGAAATACACTTAATTTAAAAAAAGTTTTCAAGAAATTTTAATTTCACTCAGTGAAATACTTTGAAAATTTGCCAAGTCAATAGTTTCATTGGAATCCAGGAAAATACCTTATTACCTTTTTAAACATTCTAGAAATTAGGATATTCTGATGGCAAAAATGAATGTCAATGTAATAAAAAGAAACGCCAACTTGCCCGAATAAATTAAGAAAAATATCTAAAGTGCTTCTAGAAGAAATTCATGAAAAACCCTGAGAATGAAAGAAATTTTTTTTTTTACACCAGCATAACTTTAGAGGCATTAATACTGGCACTGACATTTTTTAGTTTATAAACCTAAATAGAATTGTTAACTAGGCTTATTAACTTTTTGAACTTTTATATTAGCTTTTTATCTTTTTTTCTTGACTTGTTAACATTTTTTTCCCAGCTTAATTACCAGTAGGTAATATATCCTTCAGGGGCTCATCTAATTGGTCAAATGGCAGAATAAGATGTACAGCCATGTAGCAGGATCTATGCTGAATGGCTGGATATAGATCTAGTGCTTCTGGACCGGTTGGGGGGGGACTCCATTTGTAAGGGGATGATAGGGATCAAAAAAGCTAAACCTGATTTCAGTGATAATCTATAATAACAGGAAATGTTTCTGTTAAAAAGGTTCTCTGAACTACAGCGGAAGTAGAAGCTGTGGTGACTGGAATCAAATGAAATAAAAGATCCGGAGCAGGAACTGGATCATCCTTAGGAACCTTTAACTCTCCTTTCACAGGATCGTCTGGCTCCTCCTTAAAGCTACAGTGTGTAATTTTCAGCGACATCTAACGTCCAGACTGCA